CACACACACACACACACACACACACACACAGCTCAACTGTACTCACCCTCTCTAAGAAGCACTCAGCGATGGCTGCAGCGTGAGGACTCCGCTCTAAATCCTCCAGGAGGTCACTGTGGAGACACGGGCAGAGGTGAGCCAGCAGGTACGAGGCCAGAATTATGTGGACACCTAAATATTCCTTCTCCTGCAGCCTCCTAGTAAAACATCTGGAAACAAGGTTTCTAACACGTGACGGACGTGAAACTGGAAGAACACAAATATCTCACGTCATGTCCGGCCTCTTGCTGCTCTACAGGCTCCGCCCCTCGCCTGAATGTTCCCCACATGTTCCTGAACGAGTCTGAAACAACTTATGTTTTATTCCTTCTGGCTGCAGATGCAGTTTGTTGACGTGCAGGACAAACAGATACAGGAATTCATTCGTCCCAGCTGTTATTCGCCGTTTCAATTATTTATTGTCAGTTTCATTTATTGAGGGACTGCAGACTTTCTGTTGTTTCATGTATTTCATATTGTTTTTATTGTTTGTCTTTGTAATCTTTAGCGCCCACGTGGACATCATGGATATCCTTGAAAAGGTGTAAAAGAAAAGGTGAGCACTGACAGATCTCTCCTCTGCGTCAATAGAAACCTGAGCTGAGTCTGGAATCAAACGTCAGATTAAAACGTCCGTCACTACAGTTAATGGATCCCGTGCCTGCACCTCCTCGTGTTGGTTCTTGTAGAACCTGAGGTCTAAGTCAACCCTCCAGTCTGCAGCTCGTCCACACTGAACCAGCTCAAACGGCTCAGAGGCTCTGAGTGTGAGTAAAGCTCTGGGTCACAGCCAGGCGACTCCGCCGGGAGCCACAGAAAACATCAGCACTGTCAGAGACGCCATCGTGTTCAAGTCACGGTTACACACAGTCGACGTGGACACACACCAACGACACGGAGACACTGATCTGTCTCCACCACCTGCTGGAGGAAACTGGATGACGTGCATTTGAACGAGTGTGGAGAAAAAGAGCGAGTGTGAATATGAGAGTTTACATCTTTAACTCAAACTGCATTTTTATATATATGTTGATATTTGACAGGTTTTCTTTGACACTGAACGTTTCTCTGCTGGTGTTCGTGTTGACGACGTGTTGACGACCTCTGAGCAGCAGTTTGAAGATTTGAAGACTCGGGTCACAGTAAAATCTCCTCTTGCGTGAGTGAAACTGAAGTTTTACATTTAGTTTTTACCTTTTCCCCGAAGACATTTCTTGTTGCCGAGCAGAAACACGGGCCAGTCTCTGAAAAGTGCAACCGGCCGAACAATATATCAATAAGCTCGGAGCTGGCCCGAGCCTCGGTGATCTCAGCGGAGAGAGTTTTACTGCGAAATATATTTTACATCCCGTCAAACGACTGTAAAACACAAGAGAGGAGGGAGAGAGCTGAGAGTGTTGATGTGCTGGAGGAATCCAGACACCTGACGTGAGGAGGCAGAACCCAGCTACGGGACGAGGTTCAAACATCCACCTCCGAGGGTCACATGGGCCACGTGCAGCCAATACCAGCTGACATTGTTGAACCTGGACGGGTCGCCCGCCAATCACGACGTAACAAACCGAGACAACCAATCACACTGACGGTCGTTTACTTATCGACCAATCAGCAGTCGGCTTGTGTTTGGATGGGGGGAGGAGGCTAACCGCTGCTCCACCGTGCCACCATGAAACAGGTGAAACTAACGTTTGTGTTTTTTAATCACATATTCACTTTGATCAATTTGCTCCTTTTTCATTTTGAACATTGATTGTGGTCAAACTGACAAAAGTGAAATATATTTTATTATTAATATAAATATAATAAATATTTTACCAGTTCTACCAGTTCAGACACACACACTCTCTCTCACACACACACAGACACACACACACACACACACAAACACACAGACACACATCAACACACTCTCTCTCACACACACACATACACACACACACACACACACACACACACACACACACACA